GAGGCGAGGCGAGGCGAGGCGAGGCGAGGCCAAGCTCACAACATTAGCGGAGACAGCGAAAGAAAGGCCAAGCGATCCAGGAGCGGCAGAAGCGATCTCAGAGGGCGTTGTCAACACGGCGGAGTGCCGACAGCCATGCAGCCACCGACCGCGGCTGTGAGAGGGGATCGCATCGCAGCAGAGGCCCGCCCTTGAAAAGGGGAGAAAAACACACAACGACAGCCGAGGAGCCCTGTGGAAAAGGGCAGTGGGGCGTACGGCACTTCCGATGGAAAGTGGAGCGGGCAAGGCGACAAGGAAAAACAAGGGCGGCACACGGGGGTTACGCAACGCTTCCTCGTTGGTTGTGTGCAGTAGCTGGACTTGGTCAGCAGCAAGTTCAAGCGTCCAAGCGAGTCGCTGCTGTTCCGCCGCTCGAAAAAAAAGAAGAAAAAAAATGAGACGGGCCCGTGTCGATCCCGTTCCAGAGTGGCGCATCTGGCGTGCTCTTCATCTCGGCAGGGCCGCCGCCGCCGCGCCGCTCTTCCATGCCTGCCAAGACCAGCGCGGAAGGCAGCATCGGAAGCATTCCGACTGCAACGCAGCTCCAACCCACGCCACTCTTTCATCTTTGGCGACGCAGTGTGGCGACGCGCCGTATGCTGTTGGAAAAGGTAGCGTGATCACGCGGTGGTGCCGACGCAGTGAGGCGAGTGCGACGATTCGTTCGTGTGGACTGCTGTCGCTGCATCGCTAAGCGAGATTTCCAGTCGACTTAGGCGAGACGAACAGCCGTCGATTCTCAGTGCGCTTCCAACGCAGCCCCGTCACGCGCTCGGCCCGGCAGCCTCCAAAAATACTCACATCTCTATCCAGCCTCGACCCCCCCACACACAATCCACGCCCGACAGGTCGCTCCGAGCCAAATGCTGTTGCTGTTCTTCATTCCGACGGCGTACAGCCCGTACGTTGACACGGGAAGGTCGAGACCCGAGCTTAGAACCGGTTGTACTGCAGAATGAAGCGCCACGACGCTGTACGAACCCAAACCCCCTGCAGATGCAAGTTGCATGTGCCTGAAACGGGCGGGTTGAAAGCTTGATTGGTAGCCCAACGGCTCTGCATCGAAACTCAAATCGCGATGCGATGATGCACTGCCGCAGCTACGACGGAATTTCGCAACTGCCCTGGCTCTCCGGAACTCCGCGTTTCGACTCGAGCAAAGCGTTTTGGTGAGAAGAGTGCAGCAGCGTCGGCAAAGTGGTTCGACTGCGAGATTCCGGAAGGACCCTGTGGTGGCATTCCGCCCGACCGCATGGTCGCTCTCTCTCTCGCCCGAATGCTCGTCGGCCAGGCCCGAAAGCAGTATTCGTCCTTGCAGTTGGTCGCCAGTTTGGAATGTGGCGACTTTGCGGCCAGAAAAATGCAAGCAAAAATGCAAGCCCCAAAATGCCACTACCCGAAATGAAATGCACACCGCCCGCGCCGCTGAGCAAGTCGTGGCGGCGGCTGCACTCATCTGCACACGCGCTTCGCTGGAAGCTTTCCACTCCCGACCCAGGGCTGCCGAATGCACAACGCCTCGGTCAAAAAGTCAATGTCGGAGCAGCAAACACACACGAGCGCGTGATTGCAGGCTGCTCTCAGCTCATCTCGGCCCATGCGACCAGTCGGATGCAGAATCACCTTGTTTTGGAAGCAGCGCAGCGCATCGCAACCGCATTCCGCGACTCCACAACAAGGGAGTGGACCCGCGCCGTGCCAAGCCCTTGTGGCCGCGATCGACAGTCTCGCGTCGATGAGGCCCGCGACAGTTCCCACAAGCCACGCAGACCCTGACACGGCCACTGCCAAGACAAGCCCGCGTCAAAACAATAGCGCTAGCCTCGTCCCCGCACACATCCCTCACCCAAAGCCGATTCACGTGTGCGAAGCTCGAGCCCGCGTCCATCCGACGTGCGTCGGCCAGGCACATCTCGCGACCCTTCCGAGATCCCAATTCTTCCGGCAACGCTGTCACAACACTCGACCTAACAGCTAAAGGTGATCCGGAAAATGTTAGATCGCAAGCACTGCACGGACCCGCAACCTCCACTCCAAATTCTGCCCGACTCAGCCAATTCAACCAACACCTTCGCAATGGCATCTCGGAAACTTGCTTCCCGCCACGAATCAATGTCCACTCGCGCCTCGGGCACCATGCTACACTCGCCCGCCAGATACCAGCACGTCGATCGGCTGCTCGACAGGCCCGGTCCCGCCACCGATGCCGCATTTCAGGCCGGCGCATCCGTCAAGCATTTCCTGCGCACACAGTGCAAGATCCTCGTCATCGGCGCAGGCGGTCTCGGATGCGAGATCTTGGCCAACCTCGCACTGAGCGGGTTTCATCACATCCACATCATCGACATGGACACTATCGATGTCTCCAACCTCAACCGTCAGTTTCTCTTCCGCGAAGCCGATGTAGGCAGACCCAAAGCCGAAGTGGCCGCCGAGTTTGTGCGTCGTCGTGTGCCCGGCGTCGACATCACTCCCTACCACGGCAAGATCCAGGACAAGGACGAGCAGTACTACATGCAGTTCAACCTCGTCATTTGTGGGCTCGACTCAGTCGAGGCTAGGAGGTGGATCAATGCCACGCTCGTCAACATGGTGGACGAGGAGGACCCAGAATCGCTCAAGCCTCTCATCGATGGCGGAACGGAGGGCTTCAAGGGCCAGGCCAGGGTCATCCTGCCGACGGTCACATCGTGCTACGAGTGCAGCCTGGACATGCTCAGTAGGCAGACGACATATCCGATCTGCACGATCGCCAACACCCCGCGTCTGCCGGAACACTGCATCGAGTGGGCAAGCGTACTCGAGTGGCCGCGGCTCTTCCCAGATACCAAGCTGGACAACGACAATCCGGACCACATTCAGTGGCTCTACGACCAGGCAGCGGCAAGAGCCGACTCGTTCGGCATCACGGGCGTCACCTGGGGCCTCACGCAGGGCGTGGTCAAGAACATCATCCCGGCCATCGCTTCCACCAATGCCATCGTCGCAGCTGCGTGTGTGCTCGAAGCCTTCAAGATCGCCACCACTGCAGCGCCATTTCTAAACAACTACATGATGGTCACCGGTAACGACAGTGTATACACCTACACCTTCGAGCACGAAAAGAGACCCGACTGCCCGGTATGCGGAGGCGAGTCGCGAACCATGTCGTTCAAGCAGCACGACACGGTGCAGGACCTCATCGATAGGCTGGGCGAAATGCCCGATCTGCAACTCACAAGACCCTCGCTCGCCATCCAGGGTAGACCGCTCTACTTTCAGGCGCCGAAACAGATCGAAGAGGCCACAAGACCGAATCTAGGCAAGAGGATAGCAGAGGTGTGTACGGAGGGCGACGAGGTGACGGTGACAGATGCGCGGCTTCCATTCACGCTCGGAGTGGTGGTCAAGTTCGACGGGTGATGTCCAATGCCATCTTTTATACTACGCAACGCCGAAGATTCGTGACATTGCAGTGTGGGATGTCGTCCTGTTGACCGAGAAAGGGAGTCAGATCAAGTCTCAAAGGTGCGCAGAGCGGGAAGTGACGTGCTCACATGGCGAGTCCGTCGTGCGTGGCGTGCGGGATCCAGTCGACGGTCCATTTCGGTGGCAATCCTGCTTGCTTGGCCAGCGCGTCGAGATGGGCCCGGTAGTGCTGTGCGCGCTCGAGCCGATTCGCGCCTAATCTCGCCAAACATGAGCAAGTGAACCTTTGTACAGTGAGAAGTGTGGGGGCTTACCTTGAGCCAGAGCCGGGGGACGGTCATCTCCAACACCGCGGTCGTGCTCGGCGTGTAGAAAGTGCACCACGCGCTCGGCGAGCCATCGCCGCGCATGCATGGTCCGATCCCCAACAGCACCGTAGCACGACAGCGCCAAATCCACACCTTCCAATCCATCTGTTCATGCGGCAGCTGTCAGTTGAAGATCTGTGCGAGCGAGGTGGCCAACCACTTACACTTGTACATGTCCATGTCCTGTGCATCCACCGTGTCACCGGGTTCAGTACCGAGTCTACAAGCAGAAAAAGTGGGAGGTGGGACCTACTGGACAGGCTGGGCCGGGTCGCTCCGGCGTTAGGTAGAGGAATGTCGCAGGATTCATCACGACGTACGTGATCTCTTTGTGCGGACGTCCAAGCACGCTGTATCGCTGTACCAGCTGCGCTCCCAAGCTGTGCCCCGCTATCTCCCCCATCATCCGCATCAGCATGAAGTCCTAAGGTGGTGTAAGCAGGGCCGGGGAGGACCTACACAACGTGATCTTGCGCAGCGAGGCGTAGGACGAAAAGTGGGCTACGAGCGCATCCAGTGCCTCGAACGACGATACACCCGAGGGCCCGCTATCTTTGCGTCCCTGTGATGGGGCCCCTTCACCCCACTGGACTCGCAGAGCGAAAAGAGTGTCAGTGAGTGAAAGGCCGGGAGGGTGGGGTCTGTGTGCTTACAGTGTTTGCTTTCCATACCAGCGGCCGACATTGGCAAAACTTGTCCTTGTCCAGACCATTCAACTGTCGCCCCAAAGTCAGCCAAAAAGGCTCGCCAACGCAAAGGTGTCAGGAGACTCACAAACTGGGGTGCTACAATGAGCGTGGTCGCCGCCTGTTCGGGGGAAAGCTGGGCACGCGCACTCGCCATGTCTAGCCAGGCACTCGCTCCGTCCCTCTCTACGCCCTACGCGTCAGAACATGTTTCACACAAAGCACAGCTGGGGAGGAGGTGCACCTTTACCATGGATGTGGATCACCACATGCTCCACCTTGTCGCGCTGCGAGTCGAGAAACATCGCCAACTCGCGCCCGCCCGCCCACGAAAGCATGGCGAGCCTCGACCCGGCAGCTATACAATCCAAAGTCGTTAGTAAAAGCTCACGATGTGCAGAGAGTGCAGAGGCTCTTACGTGGTGCGAGATCGAGTGGCGGATCGAGGACGAGCTGAGGAACGCCCAACGGCCACATTGCAAAGACGGTGGTGGAAAGAAGCGGGCCCGGCCGTGTCTGACAGCTGAGTCGATGGCATGCGTTCGCGCATGGCCCCTGCAGCCCACGGCCGAGTGTGGAGGCTGTCCCTCCCACAGCGGCCCCCCACTAGCCATCTCACCTCGAGGTGTGGTCTCAGGATCTGTTGCCACAACGCTTCTACATACACACACACACACGCTCGGGTCTCAGAACGACTGCCCATCGCAACAATACATGTGTTCGATTAGAAGTGCGCACCAGTGAGCTTGGACTCTACAAACGCCTGCACAAGTGCGAATAGCCCGTCTTTTCCACCCGCCACCTCGTCGGCAGCGCGCAGCGCCGAGACCAAATCGCGCGACAAGCCCGATTCGAGTTCCTGCCTAGCCATGTGCTCGAGGCGAGCATGCTCCTCGTGCTTGGACTTGCCGCTGGCCCAGATGGCCGCCTGGCTCGCCGCCAGTCCAAGCGTCTGCTCCAGCGTCGCCGAGCACGCCGCCTTCTCCTCGCCTGTCATCTTGCTCTTGCGCACCACGTCGGTGAGGTAGGAGCTGAGGTCCAACAGCGTTCCCAGCGTAGCGATGCGCACGGTGCTCGTTCGAGTCGTCGGCCTCACGATCGCGCAGCCCGACGAGGGCGTTGGCCAGGACTCGGATCCGCGGCATAGAACAAGCACACACCGCGTGTGATTCCATAGACTCGCGACGAGCACCGACACGATGCTGCGCATCTTGGACACCGCACGATCTTGTTCCGCTTGGCTGTCAGAGTCGAGGCCCAACAGGCTGTTGAGCTCGTGTGGATGCTGCAGCAGATGTACCAGTGGCGGAAGCGTCCATGCTACCGCCTCGGCCAGGTGCTGCACGATCGAAGGGGCTGAACGGTCCGTGTGACCTACGTGCGACTGCGCGGGCTGCTCGCTCTCGATCCGAGTCAGGCTGTACAGCAGGCTCGAGATCAACTCGATCTCTTCCAGATGCTCCATGCTCAATGCCGAGCCAGCCCAGGCGCTGGCGTCCCTCGAGGCGGATGGACCCACCAGTCCGGTCATCGACTCGAGACGCGCCTGCAACTCGCCGAGGTTGAGCGCGCGATCAATCTGCCTCTGGTAGACGCGCACAAAGCCCATCACGTCGGTCTCGACAAAGCGCACACTGACGCCGCGCCAGCTCGCACTGTCGTTGCCCGCACCAATGTTGTCGATCAGGTTGACGACGACGCGCAGCATCATCCGCCAGCACTCGTGCGTCGGATTCGAATCGCCCGTCAGCAGAAGCGGTGACACTTGACCGTTCTCCAACGCATCCGTGATCATGTTGGACGCCAGAGCGTTGACCGCACCCTGCAGAGCAAGCTCTTCGCCCGACGAGGGCTGAGATGCCACCGCCAGCAGCAGCGAGAGCAGCGGCTTCATGAACGCCACGTGATGCGCGCTGTTGGGCCCGTGAGCGCCGTCGTTTCGCAGCACAGGTGCACGGCCCAGCAGGTTGATGGCGATCTGCAGTAGCTGGACCTCCTGCACGTGCGACAGCCACACGCCTGTCTCGGCGCCCACATCGCGGCGGATCGTCATCTCGAAGATGCTGACGAGGATGGCCAGGTCGTCGTCGAGACTCTGCAGATCGACGTCGTACCGAGACGTTTGCAGCACTCGCAGGGCGGATTCCATCTTGATGCGAAGCGCTTCGGTGGCATGGCGGCAGAACAGCTCGACGGCTGCGTGCAGAGCCTTGTGGCTCTCGATCGTCTTGTCGTCAGGACGTGCCAGCGCGGTGTGCGACGCAAGCAGCGCACGAATGCTCGAGATGCACACAAGCACCATCTCGAACACCTCCCGATGAAACTCGGGCGGCATCGTGCCCTTGAGACTATCTTCCACCTTGAAGTGCGGATGCGTGACGAGGCGGCCACAGATGGTAGCTGCTTGTACGACCTGGTCCGTGCTGCTCGATTCCATGCTGCGGCGGTGTCCCCAGGCCAGCTCCATCAGCTTGGTCAGCAGCGCCATGCGCATCGCATGCACGCCGCGCATAAAGTCGCCTTCCCGGCCCTCATCGGCTGCCAGCGTTGCAAGTCGCGTCCACGCAGTGATGATCGTCTTTTCCATGCCGCTCATCTTGCTTTGTCCCAACGCCTGCGCCACGATGCGACCCATGCACAACTCGACGCACTGCGTCCACGCCTGCAGCACCGAGTTCTGCACGTCGATCAGACTCCACTCCATGTTGATCGTCTGGATCGCCAGCAGACCCTCTTCGATCAGCGCCACTTCGCCCGCGCTCTCGTGATCCAGGATGCGTCCTTCAGCCTTGGCGCGGAACGACGCCGTGTTGAAGTGGTAGTCGTCGCCGTAGCGTCGGTCGAGATCAAAGTCATCCTTCCGCGCGGGGTGTCGCAGCTGGTCAACGTAGATCGATGGGAAGAGCTCGACGAGCTTGCGTTCCAACGAGGCGCGCATCTGTGGATCGCACGGCATCGAGAAGCACGTCTCGAGCGCGCCGAGGATACGGTCGGACGAGGTGAGCATGTCGAGCATGGCGTCGAGGCTCGCCTTGCTGGGCTTGTCGTTCTTGCTGGAATTCTTGAGGATGCCGCCGAGCTGGATGTCGTGTTGCAACAGTCGCAGCGAGCGAGCCTGGCACATCTTTTGATAACAGTAGGTCGCCACGCTATCGTCGCTGCGTGAATGCAGCGCAGAGTCGGCATCATCGAGGTCCTGTGCCACTGTGGAAGGCACTTGCGTCGTTTCGCACACGATGTCGGCTAGCGCTCGGAAGAACGAGACGTTGGTGCGGATCGTGTCAAAGGCAGCCACATGCTCTGCCGCATGGATCCAGGCCACGTCGAGGAACCTCAGCACCGCCTCGAGCAAGTGCGGGCCTTCTCTGTGGGTGGGGCGCCAAGACAGGATCGCTTCCGAAGCGACATCCAGCGCCGTCGTCGTCAAGGCCTTGCCTCGCGTGAAGCTGTTGGCGGTGTCAGTGGCCTTGGTCTCGGGCTTGTCGGCCTTGGTGTTCGCCTCGGATGTGTTGAGACGCGTCTCTGTCGTCATGGCCAGATGACGGCCGGTCAAAAGGAGAGTGCCCAGGGCAGGCTGAGTGTCGACGATCGCCGCCAACATGGTCCAGACGCGCACCTTGAGCGTGGCGTCCTGATTCGGGTTATTGACAAGCTCGACGAGGCCCGAAAGGGTATCTTCGAGCTCTGCGAGGGTGCCCAAGTGCCCGATGAGACCAGGAGGCTGCTTGCCCGCCGGTGCAAGGTCAGCGGTGGACCTGAGGATGGCGGTAATCAAGTGAGCCGCAGATGAGCTGATGACCGTGGATGTAGGGAAGAGCACATAGGCAAAGGCAGCGCCAGCGAGCTCAACCCGATTCGACTTGCGCGCACCGCTGAGCACGGCGCGAGAGGCCACGATGGTGTGGTCGAAGAAGAGCCTCTCGAACAGACCCGTGTTGAGCCTGGCAGACATTGCCTTCTTCGCGGTTTCCGCCGGAAGCGACGAGAGATCGTGCAGTGCGGCAAGAGTGTGCTCACGCCTGCGTGATACAATGAGCGTTGCGAGACGCAGGGTGGATGCGATCCACTCTTCTGCCAAGACAGCGTCGGTCTGCCTGCCTGCTCGGCCCAACGCCTCAAGAAGCTGCTGGCCGGTTCCGATGCACGTGATCAGAGGAGCGAGACCCAGGATGCTTGGATGAGTGACCAGATTCCTTTCCGCCATTTCGACCAGAGACGAAGCCGGTCCAGCTCCATCAGCGGAGTCGGGGGAAGGGGTGAGAGGAGCACGCCAGCTTCGTTCTGCGAGCGCCATCTCGAGCAGGCGCGTGCATTTGGAGCCGATCTCGAGCCTGTCTGCAAGGCGAAGGTACCGCCAGCTCTGGTACTCGGGCCAGACGCATTCGAAGATCCAGCCGAAAGCTCGAAGGAGAACGTTGGTCTTGGTCTCGAGCACTTCGATCGAGGCGGTCGAGTACGATCTCTGGAGCTCTGAGAACAACGCGATGTGGAAATCGAGCAGAGAGATCAAGCCAGAATACGACGCGCGGCCGAGTTCCTGGGTGAGCAAGGCGGATACGGTGGAAGCGCTGGCGCTGGAGGTTACCTTGGAGAGGTAAGGAATTGCGCCAGGACTACCAATGAGGGCGTTGGACGAGCGCACCTCCTGCCAGACGGCATCGGGATCGTAGGGCAGCAGCACGGTGAGAAGCTTGAGCGTGGAGCGAACGAGTCGAACGCTGATGGGTGCTGCGACGAGGGCGTGCGACAAGAGGCTGACTGCGATGGACGAAAGACTCTTTGCGTGCGCCAAATCCTCCTTCTCCTTTTGGATCTGTTCGAGCTCCTCGGGCTCCAAGTCGAGCGAGAGCTCGTCTGCATTGATGTCGCGGCCGTCGAGGTGAGCGAGGACGGCCCAGGCGAGATCGGCGCTGGACGAGATGATGCTGGCGAATAGGTCGAGCACGTCCGAGGCGAGCTCCTCCCAGGGCACGTGGGCATCGGCGGGAGCGAGTTGAGCGAGGTCGACGGCCTGGCGCCCTTCGCGGAACGGATCGGCATCGTGGTCTGCGGCGCTGTGGTCTGCGTAGGCGGGTGGAAAGGAGGAGAGGACGTCGCGCATGAGTTTCCAGGCGCTGATGGGCCGGGCGGGACTCCAGAGCACGATCACGGGATCCTTTCCGAGCTCGGATATGGTGGAACCCGTGGTGCCGGGCACGAGGCGAATTTGGGTGCCAGGCACCCGCATGAGGCGGGTGATCCTGTAGGTGACCGAGGTGTAGTCGCCTCCCTCCATGGTCTCGAAAGGAGCGTTGGGAGTGTTGGCGCCGATGGGGAGGACTTGGGCAAAGGTGGGCACGTTGGCGAGATAGTCAAAGACGGCGGCGCAAGCGCGCTCCTCTGGTTCGAGGCGCGACTGGTTGTCGAGCAAGGAGGGCCACGAGGCCTGCGAGTCGACTCGAGCGTGTCCCGAGAGTGCCTTTGTGAGGAGGATCAAGGGACGGAAGCTGACTGGCCAGCGGCGCCTTGCGGTGTCGAGGGTGGTGCATCTGGATTCGTATCTGCTGTCGATCTGCCAGAACTGGTCGCAGAGGGCGGCTACGCCGTCGATGGCAGCCTGGTTGAGCTCGAGGGTGAGGCCGGAGCCGAAGGTGGCCTCCCATAGGCTGACGAGAGCGTCAAAGTTGGGGAGGAACTCGGGCTTGACGAGCTCGGTGATGCTGAGCAAGAGGCCCTTGAAGACGGCGCGGTAGGCGAGAGCGGAGGGACCTGCGACGGCGGGGTTGCTGGCGCCGTTGCTGCTGGTCAAGAGCGGAGAGGATAGCAAGGCCATCAAGGTGTCGAAAAGGCGCAATTCGGGTGCGAAGGCAGCTTGCGCGAGTCTTCTCCAGAGCGAAGGACCTCCGTCGTCGGTCCTGACGACGTCGGCGAGCTCGGATAGGGAAGCGGTGAGATGGCGGGAGGGCTCGAGGTCCGAGGCGTCGGAGGCGTCTGTGGCAGCGACGAGCGCGTCTTCGAGACGATGGAGGACGAGCGCCCATGCGAGCAAGATGGGAGCCTGGAGAGGGTCTGCGGAGGTGCTGCTGAGCAGATCGAGTGCCTGTTCGAGGCTCGGAGCGTTTTTGGAGATGTGGGATTCCAGGGTATCTTGGTCGAGATCGAGACCGTCCATGACCTCTTCGAGCGAGAGCAGCTCTACGGCGATGAGGACGAGGAGGTGACCGAGGCAATCTACGGTCTCTGCGGCCTCTGCGTCGAAGAAGCCGAGGTTGGCCTGACGACGACCGACTTCGGTCTGGTGTACTGCGCCAAGGAGGGCGAGTACGGGTTTGGGCGAGGGAGAGAGGCGACCGTAGAAGAGGAGAAAGACGATTTCGAGCAGGCCAAACTGCTCTCGTAGGATCTGCTTTGCCCAGAGGGTCGAGTAGCGCGGCTGCTGTCGGATGGACTCTGGAAGCGGCAGGGAGACGAGCGAGACGAAGTGGTCGATGCACTGAAGTGCGAAAGCCTCGTCGGCGAAGAAGTCGAGGATGGCGATGGCGATGTGGTAGTAGACGTGCTGAGGATCCTCTGTGATGCGGATGAGTGAGGAGATGGTGCGGAGAAGGTACATGCGCTCCTCAAAGTAGAAGATGTTGAAGGCATCGAGGAGGTCGGCGGTTTTTGTTGCGCTGTCGTCGGACTCGGTGCGGGCTTGGTGTCGCGAGCGGTCTGGTCTGGATCTGGAAGCTCTGGATTTGACGGGGGAGGGGGGTGGCTGTTGGAGGTGGGAGCGGACGATGTCTTGGATGCCGTCGAGCGAGCGATTCTCTGCTGCTAGGAAGGTGTGCAAGAGGGCAAAGGCATGCTGATGCGAGGTGTTGTATCGGGCAGCGATGTCTTTGCAGAGGTTGCGCGTCTCCTGGTCGAGGGAGTGGGTGGAGCCATCTGCGAGTTTCAAGCTTGCGGGCGGGAGGCTATCGTTGGCTGTGGTTTGGTCTGGCGAGGTGTGTATGGGAAAAGGCTGGAGGCACGATGTGAGGTCTGCCTTGCGATGGGTGAGGATGTCGCGGATCTGGTCTGCATCGCGATGATGGCGTGCGAGCTCGAGATGTTCAAAGATGTCTTGGTAGGAGACCAAGAGGCTCGATGTAGGAGGCGGAGCGGCGACCGAAGGGCCTGGTGCCGAGGAGGCTGGCTGGACCATGGCAGCTGCAGCGCGTTTGAGGGAGGACGAGCGGGGATGGTGGAGGAAAGGGAGGACGAGGCCGAGGCCGAAGAAATCTGCGTGTTGGCCAAAAATCCGAGAGAAGTGTGCGTTCGTGATCGTCTCCACACGGCCGCAGAAGCAGAGGGTTCGAGCGCATCCATCGGCGATCGTCTGCACTCTAAACCCGATCTCCCGATCTCACTCCGCTTAACGGCCACACGACGAAAATTCGACACTCTGCAGCGTGGAGTTGAATGCGAAACCAGAGCTCAGTTCGTACAACCCTGTGATACCCTACGGTGGCCAACCTCGATCGCAGACCCCTCAGCATGGCAGTGGTCTGCTTTCAAGCGAGATGCGAGACGAGACCCCTCTCGGATGCGAGCGGGTATGCATGCATGGCGAGAGAGGGGGGAGGGCACGCTTGGCAAGCCGGCTCGGCCAGCCGGTCCAGAGACCGGAGGGAGCGAGCCAGCGAGCACGCGCTCGATCGTGCGGCCCCTGCGGCGATTGCGAGTGGTGGCTCAAGGCTCGAGCCGCTCGCTCGTCATTTGTGCCACAGCAAGGCGCTCTGCTTTCTTTCCTGTTTGGGCCAAGCGCTCGCCGCGGCCTCTGCTGCTCGCCTGCTGACTCGAAAAATAGCACCAAAAAATCGCGCTCTCTGGTGCCGCTGCCGGTTTGGCTGAGTCGATGCGCCCAATGCAGCAGCACCCAATGCAGGACGAGGTCAGTGTGGAGTTGACTTATCTCTCTCTCTCTCCAACCCCTCTATCAGCAGCAGCTGTTGGATCCAGGCGAAACAAGCAGAGGACCCTGAACGACGCGCCACCCCTCCTCCCCTCGCCTTGCACGACCCTCGCACGAGACCCCGCCCCCGCCCCCGCCCTCACCCTCACCTCATCTCGCACCGCATTCACCTCCCCCATTCCTCCCTCACCACCACATCCATCCATCCATCAAGACAATCTCTCCACCCCTTCCTGGTAGACACTAGACTAGACTAGATTTTCTCATCACCACACCTAGATACACCGCCGAATAGACGGCATACACTTCCCCTTATCTTTGCAAGGCCTAGGAGCTTGTCGCCTGGCGCGCACAACGCCTCGGCTCGCCGCAGCCCCCCTTCGCCATGCCGCGTCCCAATCAGCACGGCCACAAGCGCCTGTTTGCTCTCATCGCTCTCCTCCCCTTCTGGCTTAGCTTTGCCAGCCTCGCAACCGCACCCGTCGCCAATGCCGCTCTCCTGAACACCGGCGCTCCTCGTCCCCAGGATCCCGCCCGCAAGTCGCTCGCCTGGGGTCCCGAGCACGCCCACAAGGTGTTTGCCGACGTCGAGTCGGCCACCGACGTGCCCGCCGTCCGCCGTAGCGTCGACTCGGCTCGCAAGCACGCCTACGCGGCCGCCATCCACTACGTCAACGCGGAGCAGGGCCCCAAGAACGCCTACTCGGTCGCCACCCGCCTGGCCAAGCATCTGCTCGGCTATGCCCAGGGTCTCGCCCCCGCCGGCCACGACTTTTACGTGCGCCCGGACTCGTACACCGACGCCTCGAGCGGCATCTCGCACTACTACATCCGCCAGCTCGTCAACGGCCTCGAGGNCCCCCGCCGGCCACGACTTTTACGTGCGCCCGGACTCGTACACCGACGCCTCGAGCGGCATCTCGCACTACTACATCCGCCAGCTCGTCAACGGCCTCGAGGTCGCCGACGGCGATCTCAACATCAACATCGCGCCCGACGGCAAGATCCTCTCCTTTGGCTCCTCGCTCTTCGCCGGTCAGGCTCCTCCGCCTTTCACCAACCAGGGCGTCGCACAGTCCGAGGACGCCGTCTCCGAGCACGACCTCTCGCTGCGTTGCGACAAGCTCCGCGCCGAGCTCGACTCGCTCCTCTTTGTAGCGCAGCCCTCGTCTGCCGAGTACACCGAGGAGGCAGCCGCCAACCCGGACTGGTCCAACAAGAACGAGGCCTTCGTTCGAGGCGGCGTCCACCAGTTTGTCTTTGACGGCCTCGCCAATGCCGCTCCCGACCACGCGCCCAAACGCGCCAAGGTGGACCCGCAGCGCGTGCTGCCGCTCCAGGAGGAGCTCCACGAGGTGTGCGGCGTGCCCACCGACGACCCGCTCCTCCAGGGCGCCGACCTCTCGTCACGCCTTTCGGGCTCGCTCTCGCACCTCAACGCCAAGCGCAGCCTCCACGGACCCGACGCCATCATCGACCCGCGTCTGGCGCTCGTCTACTTCCTTCGCCAGGCCACGCCCGACGAGGGCCTGGCGGCTCGCCTCTCGGACCCGCGTGCGGCCGAGGCCGAGGCGGCGCAGATTGTCACCACCTTTGAGCACAAGCTGCAGCCGCACGCGGGCAAGACCGATTCGGGCGCCCAGGCCACGCACACCCAGATCGAGTACCTGCACAATGTGCCCACCGCCAAGGGCCCCGTGCCCGCCCAGCTCGCCTACGTGCAGACCGAGGGCGAAGGCCTCAACCTCGTGTGGAAGTTCCAGATCCCGCTCGAGGACAATGCCTACGAGGCCTACGCCGACGCCCACCGTCCCGGCAGCATCAGCTCCGTGGTGGACTGGGTGCACAGCATGCCTCGCAAGCGTGTGCCCGCTGACAAAGACGTGCCCAAGCTGGGCCGTCCCCAGTTTGGCCGCGCCAAGCTGCCCGAGCTGGGTCGCCCCGACTTTTCGCGCTACACGCCATCCAAGCCGTCCAAGAAGGCCAAGTCGGCCAAGGACGCCAAGCCGATGAGCCACGAGCCGGTGTACCGCGTGTTCAAGTGGGGACTCAACGACCCCACCGAGGGCAAGCGCTCCAACGAGAAGGGCGAGCGGTACGAGGAGGCGTCGCCCGTGGGCTGGCACGCGGTGCCGGGCAAGCACTCGCCGTTTTCGTCGCTGGGCGCGGACGAGGCGGTGTCTGTGGACGGCAACAACACCGTCTACGCCGACACGCGCGGCAACAATGTCTTTGCGCAGGCGGACCCGACGGGCAACGGCGAGTGGAAGTCGAGTGTGATCAAGCGCCCTCGTGGCCGCGAAAGTGCGGACAAGAGCACGGACATGATGTTCAACTATCCGTACAAGTGGCGCAAGTCGGAGAAGAAGCACTCGGAGCTTCCTCCTGCCGACTATGTGGCTGCGGCGACGGTGCAGCTGTTTGTGACGATCAACGAGTACCACGATCTGCTGTACGCCTACGGATTCGACGAGGCGTCGGGCAACTTCCAGGAGCACAACTTTGGACGCGGCGGCGAGGGGTACGACGGCGTCATCGCGTTTGCCCAGGACGGCGCGGGCACGGACAATGCCGACTTTATGACGCCGCCGGACGGCCAGCGCGGACGCATGCGCATGTACGTGTGGGACCAGTCGACGCCGTTCCGCGACGGCGATTTCGAGGCGGGCATCGTGATCCACGAGTACAGCCACGGCCTGTCGACGCGTCTGACGGGTGGGCCTGCCAACAGCGGCTGCCTGGGATGGGGCGAGTCCGGTGGCATGGGCGAGGGATGGGGTGATGCGCTTGCGTCGATCATCCGTCGCACGGGAGCGGCGCCGCACGACTGGCCGATGGGCTCGTGGGCGTCGAACCGCGCCAAGGGCATCCGAAACTACCCGTACTCGACCAACAAGACGATCAACCCGGAGACGTACTCGTACCTGGACCACGCCGGCTACTGGGGCGTGCACGCGATCGGCGAGGTGTGGGCGACCATGCTCAACGAGGTGGAGGAGGCGCTGGTGTTGGAGCACGGCTTTGCCACGCACCTCTTCCCTCCTGGCAAGAATGCGAGTGCGACGGAGCAGGCTGCGTTCTTCCTGGACGAGGACGAGCTGGCGTCGTTGGGCAAGTCGCGCGTGAGCAAGCGCCGCGTTCCTCGCCACGGCAACACGCTGCTGGTGCAGCTGATCCTGGACGGGATGAAGCTGCAGCCGTGCCGACCGAGCTTCTTTGATGCGCGCGATGCGATTGTGCAGGCGGACAAGCACCTGACGGGTGGGCAGAACCGATGCGTGCTGTGGAAGGCGTTTGCCAAGCGCGGCTTGGGCACGGATGCGAGCGTGATCGGCCGCACGCCCTGGGGCGGTGGAAAGCGCACCGACGGCTACAGCGTCCCGCACGACTGCCAGTCCAAGTCGGAGTGATAAGCCCGGTCCTGCTCGATGATCCTGATCCTGATCCTTGTTCCTTGTCTCGCTTTTCGTCAGCTCCGTTCCGCAAACTCGTCCGCATATCTCAGCCCCGTATATCGTTTTTATTGTTCCGACTCATAGCTACGCCTCACGTTGATCTCGATTCCTAAACATGTCCGCATCTCTCACATCGCCGATTGTTTCCGTTTTCTCTGTTCGAATGCAAATTGATGGCCCGACATCTGCGTCGCTGGATGTGATCCGAGGGGGAGGGAGGCATGTGACTATTCACACATTGCGACTTTGTGCCAAGACTGATCGGCCTCTGCCTGTCACCACCCTTTCTTGGCGGAGGGGCTGAGACGGCGGCTCATCCGAGAGGATGAGAGCGGGTGGCGGGTAGCGTAACGCGGGCCGAAAATTCAATTTCTCGCTGCCTAAAAAAGGAGGGAAGCAGGGCAGCGAGCGTGGCGAGCGTGGCGAGGTTGGCCGCGTTCCTGAGCTGGGGCGCGCGGGCAGAGGGCCAGACTGAAGCGACGGCCGACAAGCCAAAGCTGCGAGCGTGCAGCGACTCGCAGGAGGAGTGCAGCCGTTGTGCGGAGGAAGAGCGCTCGATTTAGCCCTCAGCAGCAGCGCCCAAAGTCATGCGTAGCACCCGCGATTCAAGCCACCCACCACCACCACCACCACCACCACCACC